TGGAATATAGTTTAATTATTTAAACTAGAATTCGTTTAAGGGTTGACAAATATTAAAGTGATTGGCCTTAGACTAAGAATAGTTTAAGGATATTGTTGAATGTTGAATATTGAATATTGAATATGAGTAAATATTGAATGATGAATATTGAATTGAATATTGCAATTATTATGAATGACTGATGAACATTGAATGTGAATATAAATGTTGAATAATGCATGATGAATAATTTTTAATAATTATTGATTATCTGAACTGAACATTATGTGCATGATATCAAATGATTTGATTATGAATTTAGATTCAGTTTATATGGATGTTCGATGCATTAGATATGCTTACTCAGCCTCAACGCTGAGCGTGTAGTATGTTTTATTTGCTACACGCAGAATAATGAAGTGACGTGATCCTGGAGGCAGACAGAGGCGAGATTGTCGGAATGGATGTGATGGTTTTGAATTAAAGAACATAAATAAATTATGTTTGTGATTATGATTGTTAAGCTTCCGCAATATTGAAAACTCCGTACTGTTTATATTATGAAAAATATTATTGTGATAAATAAAAGTGTTTGAAATGTTTTAAATTTTTACGATTACCAAGTTAATACTTTAATCTGAAAGGGGTTGCAGACCTGGATAGATTAGGGTGTTACATCATAAATCATTTCAAACCTGTCACATCCATCCCGACAATCTCACCCCATCTGCTGTCAGGATTACATTGTTCTTTTTGTTCTTCTAGATATCCTTAATAATCATCATCGTTAAACAAGTGGGTATATCATAGAGTTCTTCTAGATATCCTTAACAATATACATCGTTTTCATGATCACAATTATATTCATTTTTAATCATGATTTAATCATCATCAATCATTCTAATCAGTAGATTTATCATTCATAAATATTCACAATAATCATTCATCAGAGTTATCAATTAACATAACATCTAATAGGAAGTAGTGGCCTAATTAAAATCGATTTATTTCTTTAAAATAATCGATTAATACATTAAAATTGATTTAAACTTTTAAAATAATTGATTATGTTTTTCTAACTTCGAACACCTCATCTGAACAAAGTTTTAATCGATTCTTAGTAAGGAAATAATCGATTTTCGGCTACTGTTCATCATCTTCTTCCTCTGGTCAGTTTTGAGTATTATCATTTTTAATCACCAAACTTCAATTAAATTATATAGAAATGTTCTCTAATGTTTACAGATCATTTTAGAGTAATAAATTTGTAGTTTTAGTATCAAATTCAAGATTTATGATTCTTAGTTCTTCAAGTATGTCAAACACAAAACTCAACCAAATGACTAATTATGAACATAAAAACGACCTATATGAACATTCTAGTCATTAGATATATCTACAGGCTTACCTCGAAGCGTAATGGAGGTTTTGAATATTTTCCGGCGAAACTTCCGGCGATAATTACTCTCAGCTCCAGCGACTTTAAGCTTTCTGGGCAACACCAACGAACTCTCCACTCAACAAGGAACTCTTTGATAATAATTTTGGTAAGTTTGGTGAGAAAATGGAAAGAAGGGATGTCTCTATATATAGGAGAAGAAGGAGGATGCTGCCAATGAGCTGAGTCAGTGATGATCGTAGAATTTCCTTAGTGCGCAGGACGGCGATTCTATGAGATTTTCACGCCGTTCACTGATTGGGATCAATTTTGGTTCCAGTCGGGGTACATTTTTCGGTCCAACTTTCTCCGAATTGAATTTCGTTTACACCGTTGCGATCAAACAGTCGAATTCTATACAACGATATAATTTTCATAATTATTTGTAATACTTTTTCTGACATCATATTTTTGGGTGTTTGACTTTGACAAAGTCAAAATTCATTTAATTGACCTTTATTCAAAAAGGTTCCCATATTTAACTTGTATTAACTATTCTCGTGATTTATTTTGATAAATCATTTTAAAGTTCATATCATAAACAAATTCTTCATTTATTCTTAATTT